GCATGAAATATGTTTGACATCTACCTTGATTCTGTAACAAAAAACTTTCCATTTTTAGGTCCTCTGGTCTTGGTTTATAGACTAAAAAAACTTACTGTTTTTCCTGGTTCAATTGTAAGTTAACATCTATTGATAAAACTCTTACAATACACTGTAACTATACTCTAACAAACATCCCCTTAACAATGCAAAGGTAGGCTTTGAAGAGAGACCAAGTTTAGATCTGGATTTCTTCCCCTGCCAGGGATGGATGCGACAGTTTTGTCACTCTGCTGCATCCGACAGCAGGCTGAACCAGCAACAGCAAGTGGCAGCTGCATATCTGCTTTGCAGATTAGAAAGACAACGTTGTATTTGCTAATGCTGTGCAGGGACTAGAAAATCACATAAGCTTCCAAAGAAAGAATATATAAGGAATAATGTATTAGAATTTAGCAAATTGTTTTGGTTATTCTCAACAGAATCAAGATTAGTGATGATGCATTTAAGGGAGATCTGACTGACCGTGTCGAATTTAGTAAACTACACCAGTAACAAAGAGTATGTTCTCCCCTGTTTTCTTTCCTCACCCTTCCCCACCCACAAGCATTTGGGGGCCGGGGAGAAGGGAGGGGTTAAGCAAGAAAGACGATTCCTCTGCTCATTTTTCTCTCTTCCTGCCATCTCAGCTGCAGGAGGATCCCTGGAGCTGTCATTCATCACCAAATTGAAAGCATCTAGATTTTGTCTTTCCTGTCCATTTATTTTCTCCAAAAAGGAGGCAACAGACAATCTGCTAAACCAAAGTTCAAGTCCACCCCCACCCACAACTCCAGAATCATCTTCAGTCCCTTCACTGCCACGGGAGCCAAAATAAACAGCATTTGCACATTCAAATGAACTTCAGAAAATCCATAATGAGAATGAGTTTGGGTTTTGTTTTTAAAAAGTCCTCAGAAAAAAGACACATTCTATTTTACTCTTTGGAGAAGTGGGCAAGTGCGAAACAGAAATATATAGGAGGTAACTCCTATCAGGATATGCTTTATTCAGTCAATTAATGGTTAATGTGAAACGCAGACTAGAAGAACGGATTTATCTGTGCAGGCTGCTACTACAAGGCAGGATTCTGTCGCCAAAACACTAAAATAAAAAACAGACTTAAAACACAACATAAGCTGGTAAAGCTACTTTAAAATAAACATTCAAGTTCACTCTGTTGGCAGTTTGAGAGGGAAGGATGTTAACCATAGCAGTCAATAGGCTCTAGAGATACTCTTTCGCCAAAGGCTACACAGGTGGAAAAAAGATCACTAGAAGTTCTGAAGTTTGAAATGCAGACAAAAGTTTCTTCTCCACATTTTTATTTTAAAAGGCACCCGTTTCCTGTCTGCATGTTAAATCAACTCAAGCTTGTCACAAGGTACTTAATGCTGATTAGCAAATATTTTACATGTACCTAAGTGGTGACATCCTTGGCCAGTAAAAGAATCCTTGACATTTTTCTCCCTCCTACAAAAAGAACAAAATTCCCAAACCCAAAGAAACTTGTATAGATGCAATCCTTTACCCTCAACTCACACTACATGTAACCCAACACTTCCAGCTAGTAAGATCCTTCTCCAGCGTATTTTTCAATGAAAGAAAAAAAATTACAAAGAATTTATCCAGTCATCAATGCACATACCTTTAATAATGACAGCTGGAAATTAATTTGGCATTATTTTGACTCAAAAGTCAAAACACAGACAGGATTTTGCTTCACTGACTATTCTTGTTGATGTACTTCCAAAATGAAGCACTAACAAAAATGACAATCACAAAAACCTTTCCCTGAAGCTTTAGAGTGGAAATAAAACATGTATTGACTACCCTTCAAGACAAGATTGAAGGCTTCAGTTTAATTTTCAAGTCTGCTTGTAGGCTTCAGGTCCAAGACTGAAAATTAGTAAGAAACATGAAAATGAAGAGGAAAAATCACGTCATCCTTAAACTACTCCATGACAAAGGATGCCATAAAAATATTTAGAGTCAAGACCTACACAATCCTCGTTCCTGGATAAGATTCCACTAAACTGAATGCCAAGCTGCTTGCTTTCCACTCACATTACTAGTAAACAAAGGTATAAAAATATTTACATCAAAAGAAAGGAGAAATTTTTTTGTTTAAAACCATGAAGGTCTCAAAGCTGTTTAAAATAGCTATTATTTAATTATAATCTTCATGAGTGCATTCCGTAAGTACTAAGTCAGAAACTCTCAGCTACTTTTAAGTCCTTGCTTTACCAGCAGTAAGACTGCAAGGCCTATGGTGCACAGAGAAGTTGTCAGCAATCCTTGCATAATCGGCCATAAAGACTTCAAGGACACAAGCAGAGAAAAGGTACAGAGAAAGCAGAGAAAGTAGATACATATCTACTTTTCAGGCAGTTCTCTCTCTTTATGGCATAATAGTGACAGTTTTTGATGCTGAAGAAAGGTAAACTCAAGGGTAAGTTCAAATCACCAAAAGCTACGCCGTTGATTATTTCTCACACTCCACATGAGCAGGACTGTGCTGCTTTGCTGGACTGGACTGCTTTCATGAACTGTAGGCTAGAATCAAAAAATAAGTTACCAAATTCCTATCTTGTCTCTCCCTACAAAATTCTGAGGATCCTGCCCCACAATGCCCACTAGCATCCTGGGCACTATGCAGCAGGTAATGAGTCAGTACTGGCATGGACACATTTGGCAATAAATTGCACAGGGCCATCACATCTCATGGGAAAGGCATTTGAGACTTCCTATCAGAGGAACATATGGCTTTTAAACTAACAAGAGTCATTTTCACCTGACAAGTATCAACAAGTGACAGTGAAGGCCATCTTTTGGTGGCACCTTCTCGGTATGAAACAAAAAAAAATTCACCTGGAAGACAGAATCAAAATGAAATATATCATCTCTCAGAATTAGAGTTTGCTAGAGGATTACTTAAAGGCATTAGTCTGATTAGGTATGAGTTTACGCAGCTTTGATGACTCTGAAACTCTACCAACTCAGCAGAAGTGTTAAGTCTATCAAAGGATGCCTGGACAAGATTAAGTGTGTAGGAAGATTAGTAATCGAGACTTTTAGGCCAGGTTCCTTCAGGCAACTGTGTTGCATAACAAGGCCTGGGGCGGGGGGAGGAGAAGTAATTTCACAGACCTCTGTCAGGAAGAAGAGACTAAATATTTCAGCAGCTTTTAGTTCCTCTTTTTTTTTTTTTTTTTAAAATTACAGACCAAAGAATAAGCACACATACACACTGAAGAATTAACCGTTTGTGTTCAGGTTCTCACAGTTACACCAAAGATGCTGGTGTGAAACAGTGCTAAGAATTTTGATTCCTGAAAGGATTCTTGTGCAAGATTAAAGTCTAAGGAGGAACAAAGACACCTATTAAATTTTATAGTCGTGGCTTTCCACTTTTTTCAAAAAAAATATGGGATTCCTTTTCAGCAATTACTAACATTATGCTTGTTTTACTCTGTTCTTGTGCACAGATCTTCAAAAAATCATTATCAAGTCAAAATACAGACACTGATTTAACAGAAAACTATTTGGACACAGATGCAAGGACATGTACAAACTCAAGTCATCTATCTCTGACAGTTCACTTAGATCACATGGACATGAAAAACAACCTTCAGGGACTTTGAAACTAGAAATTCGAAACTAGAAAGTGGCTTTTCTTTGAAGGATGCTTTTCATCTTTGTTCCAAACCATTCTCTTTTGAAATGAAATTATATCAAAGAATTCAATTAAATGCACTTTATCATTACTATTTAGATATGTGCAAGGGTTTTTTTGTCTTTTCTACAAGAAAACCAGAATTCAGAAAATAAGCAAATTTTTTGTTCATTTATGTTCCTTTATGAAATACATCAGAATCTGGATGCAGGAAAGTCATGATATACCATAGTATAGGTGTCAAAGTTTTTACACTGTTTTTTCCAAGAACCCCTTTTACATTACTTGCCTACTTCTCAGATGACCCTCCCACATTTCTAGTCTCCCAACAGTGGGAATTTTTCAGAGGGCTTCCTATCTAGCTGTCTCAGCAGCCCTAAGGGCATATCCTGCCCTGTAGTAAACCTACTGTAAGTAAGGACAGGCTGGGGGGGTTGTTGTTGAAGCACCTAAAGAAAACATAAAAAGTCACCCCATATCCAGAGTTCTGCTGCCACTGCTCCTCTTATATCAAGCCCTGCTCCTGCTCTTAGATTAGGCAGTGCAGTTTGTGTATGGAAAAACACTGACGATCTTTTCAGAAAGCTGAAGGTCCAACTTCCAACCTTATGGACAGAGATGTAGAACTGGGTCAAATGAAAAAATTGAGCTACCTGGGGACTGAGAGGTTCATGCCTGCAGAGTTCAATGCAGAACCACACTGTTTGACATTTTAGGCTCATAAAAATTTGCCAGAGATTTTTTTTTTTTCTTTCTTTTTTTTTTTTTTTTTTACATAGCAGCATGGAGAACTTTTTCCAGATTTAGAGAAAACCACAGACTGGAATAAACCTGCCTCAGCAGCATCATTCCATGTAAAAAACTAGAAATATTATTTTCACTATAACATTGCATAATATTACATGTATTGTTATAAAAAAAAATCTGTATTGTGATTTCAATCTCAAAAAAAAAAAAAGAAAAACAAAGCCCACAACAAAAAAACCCCAACCAAACGGGTTCTGCACTGTCAAGTGCTTATCTTGCTCATCTAGGCTGATCTACCTGTTCTCTATGCCCTCCCTTTTTTTTGTCTTGCTATTTTCAGAACCTGATTTCCCTGAGAAGACTTAGGACTCTTCTGATTTCAACAGATTTTGCAACCTTTTTTAGAAAAGAGAAAAATTATAATACTTGAGGCTGTATAAGCTTACAAGCCGCTCACTCCAATTTGTCTCTCTGATGATTGGTTAATTTTGCTTGCTTGCGTATCATAATAAAAAATTCCAAGGCACATAAAATAATACCCAAGAGAGCTTGTGCTCACCTGATGACAGTGTCCTGTTATGATGCTGGCCCACTTGATGCATGCTTTGCTGTAATAGAGTCAGGCATTCTCCAAGGCAGCTCAGGGTGGCAGCAGAGGTAGCTTTTAAAAGCAGCAAGTCCTGATCCAAGGCAGAAAGAGGCCCAGAAGTTGGGAGAGCTTCAATGGCTTGTACAAGATTCTTCTGTTGTCCCTCAACTTGGCTCATGATCTGTAAAGGTCCAAAAACATCTGCTGTCATAGGAAGTATCGCTATATAACTCTTAAATTCTTATGGGTTGATATAGTGACTAAATGTGAAGAACTACCACAAATGGATGTTAATGTTCTGATCCAAACATACCACATACTTACCCAGAAAAACGAAGGGCTTGAGACTACCAAAGGCCTGTAAAAATGTCAAGACTATGTTAGAGAAAATTGTCTCTTAAAATTAGTGGGTTCATAGTAGGTTTAATGGCGTGGCTCATACTTTCTGAAAGTCTTCACAGGAAAAGTATGAAAATTGTACTTCCTTCTCCATTAATTTAGGCTTAGATTTTCTTTCCTTTGTATGTGACCTGAGACACCCAAGGAAGCTACACTGTCTCTCCTCCTTCTTTTCTACATAAAATACCTAATCACACTTTAAGAACAGACATTTTTCATTTCTCATGCACCAGTAAGGAATTATTTTTACAAAATAGAGTAACTTCTAAGTTTACAGACATTAGCATAGGATGCAACTCAGAGTACTTATTTACTATCTGATATGAATACCAGCTGTCAGGGAAAAAGTTCATCTGTTTCTAGATTGGGACCATCCAGATGAAGATGAAATGCACGCTTGTATAGTAGATAAAAACAACGTTATTTGAGCAGGCTGTTTTTTAAACAAATTGGCAGGCTTCCAAAATCATTCCTCAAGCCAAAAGAGAGAGAAGTTTTAAACATCTCCTTTTTCTGTTTTTACAACTTGTAGTAAGTTACACATGCACATGACAAACTTCTTTTCTTATACTTACCTTGCAAAAAACTTTTTGCAAAAACTTAGCAAAATGGACTGATTAAAAAAGTATACACAGACCCCCACGATACATAGCTTTAGGGAACTGCTAGAACCCCAGGCAGTGCTCTGCTTTGAGAAGTCACACACCGTGTAACTGAGCTCCACAGCACAGACTGAGGGGTTGCTTCGACACTAAAATAAAAACAAGAGCACCACAGACAACACACTCATGCAAATATTCCTCCCTCAGGAAAAGAGCTCAGGAAGGCAAACTGAAGGAACAGCTAGGAGAAAAAATATCATATTCTCCCTGGAAGACTGCACAGTATAGTTGTATGGAAAACTGTTTCTCTCCTTTTCCCATGCTGAATAAGACTGTGAAGTTGAAAACCTGATGTTCTCATGCTTCACAGACACAGAAATGTTCTATTTCTGTGAAAATAGAACCCGGGGAAGATTATGGAGCGGTTGATCTTGA